AGAGAGAAGATGTAAAAGTAGTTGCAAAACTTGGTTAACAAACTAATATTTCCGAGCGCCTTACTTGTAAAAATGCCCAACGGCGTACACATTTCTTAGGTAGCCTTCGGTACTTCCAGCGATTCTGCACAAGAAATGCACAAGGTCCTTCGCAGATTTTACCCACAGTATGATGGCTATACTGGTGCCATTTATGGTGTGAGAAATGTTCTCGAATTCGGTCCAATGTACACAATTCTACACATGACGTTGCCAGTCACACCGATATATATTGCAATCGTGATCTTACGCTCAAAGATTATTAAGCGACTGGACAAAGTGGAGAGTATGTCTTCTAACACGAAGTTTGTTCATAGACAGCTTTTAAAGGTGAATTGATTGAGTAGGTGTGGTGACAGACAAATTATGAGGCGCAAATGCTTCACTATTCTTTGAATAGTGAACTATTCCAGGTTCTTATATACCAAGCCCTCCTACCAATGTTATTTCTAATCGCAGTTATCTCTTACGTCTTGGAAGAATTGAATATATACCACCATCCTTTATTAGAATACTGCGTGTTTTCAACTTTGACACTGATCCCCATGCTGAGTCCTCTTGTATCGCTTCACTTTGTACGTCCTTATTCTGAATGGATTTCTCGTCATTTATTCAAATACGGAAAAAAGAATGCCGTAGAAGCGAGTGATGGGTATACACAAAAACATGTACCTAGCAGTGCAATACTCTCTGCTTCTGCTAGCAATATCTAAATAAATCATTGAAATCAACCAACCACTTGATAAAATGGGATACGCTACATGTACGAGACAATAAAATTCATCTGGATTGTTCTTCTGTCTTTCATTTGATATACAATTTGCTGCAACATTTGTGAAAGGCTTCAGAATAACCACTATATTCCTGGGAATGCCAACAGCTGAATTTACAGTAATTAAGTTTTAGGTTGGTCCGGATCTTCGTGTCGTTTCGAGGCCTATTTTCAAATCGTTCAAATAAAAATAGACAACGCTCTAAACAGTTTTCGATAATTTTCTTCTTTCTTCTAGCAGTTATGCTTTTGTTCCTAGCCCTTCAATTTCTCTCAGTAATCGTCATTATCTCAAGTCCATAAATTTTTACTACTTCTGCTTTAACTACCTTTAGCATACTCATTTCTAGTCTTTGTAAAAGCCTTGACTGCGTAATCGAGTAGATGCAA